GACTTTGGTATGCTTGTATGTCTTATCACTCCCCTTGATCCGCCGCCAACCAATAAGAGACAGAAGAGAGAGCGCACCTGACAAAGCGGATATGTGAGGTCTTTCTATCTATGACTGACTCTTGGTCTCGAAAAACAATTCATTTGACTTGGTTCACTCTGTTCGTAGACTCTATCGACCCTGGAATGGGTAGACGTACAAGCACCGGTCTGGTACTCTTCGCGTGGCTCGGTAAGCGAGAACTTCCGGAATGCAAGGCATATCTAGCTTTCACTCAACTATATGATACTAGTTGGTATCAGCACATAAAGGCTATAGAAAAAACTCTTATTCGTCATCAACAGGATAGGACAAGAGCTTCTATTTACTCAACATCTCTTACTGTAACAGAAATAGCACCGCTTGCTTATTCAAGACCGCCACTTCTATAACACCAACTGCGGATACCGTACCTTCATGTACAACTTTCTTCTTTCACAACTCTTTCCTCATAACGCTGGTAAGACGCTTTATTATCCCGAACTATATGGCGTAGTGTATTCACTTAGACTCAATTGAAACTGAGCTTTTGTGGGCTGGGCCTTTCCCTTACATGCTTTCTTTCTAATGAAAGGGCCTAAGACTCAGGGGCGTGCGTGGGTCAGTTTAGTTTGGTCCTAGCTTATCGTTAGGGTACTAAAATAAAACGCTTGAAAGCCAATGGGAATAGGCTAGCCCGCACTTGAAATTAAAAGGCTTCTATAACAGGGGCATTACGGGATTGAGAGTAATTGGTACGATAAGACCTGCAAGAAGGCCCCGAGCTACATATCTATCGCGGCTAAACATCACTGGAACGGAGCGGAGTCACTCGACTTAGAAGATGGGATTGAGCTCTACTTCTTATTCTTAATACGAGAGGAGGGTCACAGGCTGATAGGTAGAATTATTCAAGATAACTATAGTCCTATTGGTCTATTGGCCGAGCGCTTTCCTTTTAGCCGTGTAACTTGGCCTATTGGTCTACTGGTCTATTAGTCCTTGTTCTCTTTTCGTTATCCGCATTGGAGCTAGAAAGGGCTACTTGTAGGACTTGTACCGATCTGTATTTAGCCAGGTCTTTAGCTCTGCTTGGGTCTATTAGTCTAGTGCTATTCGGTTAAATGTCCTTTGTTTGTTGTCCCGTCGTTCAAGGTCGAGGGCATAACTTTGGGTTAGAGCACGAGGGTTATATCCAATGAATGAAGGGCACCGATGCCACCAATCTCCTTTCATCTTGGGGGCGACTCTATGCCTTCCCGGCTTGGCTTGCTTTCTTGGCCCGGACAATTAATCTTTACTTGGCTCAGTCTCTTCGAACCTCTACCTAGAGCATCTTCGAATCTTGTTGAATTGGTCTACCCCATTACCTTATTGTTTAGTTAGAACCGGAATCCCTATACCTAAAGCTACTTATTTAGATTCTGTTATTAAACCTGAGCCTTCTGAAGAGTCCATGTCCCTTTAGCCGGTGGAGCTGGTTCTAACCTCTTCTTTTGCTTACTGCTTTAGGAATATCAATATTAGTCCACTACTAGAAAAAGAGCCCTTGTCTTTGGCGCCTAGTCTTCAAGTTCTTCTTCAATGTCAATTGTAACTTACTCCAATGCATTCTTTCACTCTCGTTCCTATCTTACAATACTGGAACATCCTCTGCGCCGTGCCCTGGATATGCCATTTCCGCCTAACCCGAATCTCTTTCTTGACTGAGCTGCATTTCCAATCCGTTTAGTCGGTCTCGTACCCAAGTGTATATCCCTTCTTTATTTGCGTAACACTCTTGACCGCTCTAAGTCGATCTATTATTATCTTTCCCTCCAAACCTTCCTAGTCGAGCTTCCACGGCCCCTAAAGAAAGAGATGGGAGCACATCCGTAACTCAACGTTACGACTTACGGGCACTCATCTCATGGATACCACTTCTTTTCTTGAGCCAGAGTTTGGGCTTTTGTGACATCTAGTTCAGTATCAGATAGAGCAGATAGTTTAGTCCCTTGGCAAATAAGGTTGACTTCTCTGTCACTTCCGTACTTCTGTAACTTATCTTTAGATTATTAATTGAATTGGTTAGAAAGTCTTTCCCTGGTATTGGCTAGAAGAGAGGGATTAGTCCCCCTCCAACACTGACTTCTTAGTCGAGTAGTTATTTTTCTGCTTAGCTTCGGTTTTATCGAAACTGGCTACTCCTTATGATATGCCACCTAAACCCCCGATCTAAGAGCATATGAGAACATCTCCGGCATTGTCGAGGGAAACTCAGATAACCAGAATGATTGGCCTTCATGCCTATCCCCATCGATCAGAACTGGCAACAGATCTTTCAGCGGATGTAGCAGCGGATATTGAAATGTTGTGTTCAACTCCTGCTACTGGATCAACTCCAAACCAACATTCGGGAAGGGAATCCAAACTACTTCTTGAACTAAACAACTTATTCCTTTTCATTGATTGACTAATGCCCCGCCCCTCGGTTGAAAGATAATCTTTTACCGCTGGATCAGCTACAGAAGAATTATTCCTATTATAGATCACTGCCATCTCACGAATTGGATTTGAACCAATATCTCCGGGCGACTTTCCTTCTATTCTATAGTTCATCACCTGGTTAAACTGGTAGTAAAGTTAGGTCGTCGATCAGGGTGGCTGTATGTTGCACTTTACTGTAAACAAACATCAACATGCTTTATGCACTATTCTTCTTCTACTCACCCTAAGAGGTTGACCGAACTATCTGTTCCCATCTCTCTCAGGAGGACGGGACTCCCAAGGATCATTCCCCTGTTTCACCGTCAGGTGATCCGTAGGCGTGATGATCGAGCAGATATAGTAGTCAAGTTGTATCTTTCTTTACTATAGCAAATCTTTTTTAATTGGCTAAGAAAGTGGATAGATCAACTTTCTCTTCTATCTCTACTCCCCCTTCTAATGTGAAGGCCTTGGCTACCGATGCTGCGAATTCTTTTTTTTTTTTTAAGAATTACTGCAAAGGTATGTTCCGTCTATCTCTAGTATTCCTTTGCTACAAGGAATGACTTGGGATCCGACCTGGAAGGCCACACCATCTAAGATGAAGCCTATCCGATTGAAGAGCTCTCGTTGTAAGAAAGGAGTTCCATCTGTCTTCCGAGCCTTCCCCTTTGAAATCCATTCAAGGTTTCAACTTGTTGAGTCTCGGAATAAGTTCAGTGGGCGTCAACAAGCTAATTCGTTAGGCGCGTTGTGGTTTCCTTGGACGAGGTATTGTTTTGACCCTAACAACGAACTCATCTCGCAGATAGGTTGTTCTGCATTTGAGGAAGCTGTTAGAGTCGGACATCCTTGTCCAGAGTTTGCTGAGGTTATGCCCAGCCTTGGCCGACTAGGTCAGTCTATAGAGGGCGTAGGATATTTGCCATAGGTAACTGGGTTATCCCGCGTGTTTTACATCCCCTTAATAAGTGGTGTATGACGGTTCTGTCGACACTCCCTATGGATGGGACTTTAAACCAAACCGCTCCGGTGGAACGGTTGGCAGGCTCATCTATAACATATTATGTAGATCTTAAGGAAAGAAGACGGGGATACAATCAATAAGTTTCCTTCCTGGTATCAGTTTGGATGCATTGGCCATGCTATCTCATAGTCTGGTACTCACTGCCAGTAGACTGAATCAGGTAGACAGTCAGCTCTCGGTTACTGCGGGCGAGAGTGCTAGTCTAACTGCCGGTACGGGTATGCTAATAGATAGAGTATCCGCCAGTCCTAGAATCAGAAAGTAGCTTGTCTGCCGGACTGGCTGCTTCATTGAATGTGTCGATCTTATTCTATATAAGGAGTTGATTTGCATCCTTGTCTGGCAGTTAGCTAAGCGAGAAGCTGTGATCGAGGAAGCCCCGCCCGGTAGTGCCTCTACTCTACTCTACTAGTCCTAGTACTAGATACTAGATAGACAGGCCGATCACCGGTGGCATAAGATCCTTCTCTGCTTGTCTAACTCAAGCCAGATAGCAGCAATCACTCGAAATAGTCATATGCGGAACACATGCAAGTCCAAATTGAAAGATAAGAGAGCCAAGTCTATCTCTTAAGACCAAAAGGAAATATTGGGGGGACAGGTCTCTAGGGAAGAAATGCCAGACAGAGGTCTGACATAACCGTTTGTTTCATGCAGTGAAGCGGGCTAGAGCCAGGAGTACGGGATTGTTTGAAGGCCTTTCTGGTTTCAGCCAACTATATATAGTGTCAAGGAATATAATTTATTTTGGGCAAGTAAAGAGAAAAAGAAAGGGCTCTATTCAAAAAACTAGTTCCTGACTCCAATCAGTCAACTACGGGCGGTAAAAGAGCTGGTAGTGAATCTTCAGCGCAAGCTGTAGGAGTAGGATTAGTTTAGGTTTAGGCGCGGGAAGAAGCAACGGCTAATTAGATAGGGGCGACAAAGCGAGGGGATTGAGCCTTTCTCCTAGCACAAGATTTTTCGTCGCTGGCTTAAGACGACTTAGCTACTTGTCTTAAAGCGGAAAAGGAAGCTGACTAACTTCATTCGGTAAAGCTAGATAGCAACCGAAAGAGGCCTGAATAAGCAAAAAAAATGGGAAGTCATTGGATTATTTGCTTTGATAGGATTGTCTCCTTATGTGGTACTCGATCGGCTAGACTTCTATTACTTTTTTTTGAGTTTCTAACCGTGTTAAGCATTTCCTATAGCTGGCGAGAAGGGATCACTTATTAACGAACCTGGCTAAATTCTAAAGAGGGATCACAAATTGCCCTATTTATGGGACAGATGGGGAGGACGTTTTGCCATGCTTTGAAAGATTGTAGTTGGGAAATATTTGTTCGGTCTGTTAGGCCAGAGATCTGGTCGCACTTAATTTCAGCCCCCTTACTCAATAGATTTATTAAAATATCCATGGTGCTGGTATGCATACAATGTCGGAGCTTGAATTGCCTCTCATTTCATTTTTGAAGTAGCAATTCACCAAATCTGGGCCCAACGCCATTCAATCTTGTAAACTCTTTGACACCGCAATTGGAAAAAGAGATATGAACGGAGAGGAATAACCAATCGATGAAAGAACATGAAACCATTATGTTTCAATAGAGGTATGAGATACAGTTGGGGGCAATGAAGTAGGTGAAGTGGTTGGATTTTGCGAGTTGTTCCAACCACTGCTGGATGTGATTCCAAGAGCCAAACGAGAATGAATACCACATAGAAGAGTAAAGACCAGGCTCCCTAATAGAATGTTTAACCGATCCATTCCGGATCGACCGAATTGGTACGGAAGTTGTAACATGGGAAAACCACATAAAACACAACTTATTTGAATAACCCAGTGACCTACCAATTGTAGTAGTAGGATCTTTGGCATGCAAAAAGCACTTAAATAATAAAATTTGAGTGTACCATCTTCTTTATCATTTCGAGGAAAAGGTGCGGGAGGAAAAGAAAACAACGAAGTGATCCGAATCGGACCTAAATGGGAATGACATGAAAAGTATTTTTCAAAACCTAGTATTAAGGGCGTTACGACGATATACGAGAGGAATGGAGAAAAACTCGTGATTGGTGTGGAGGGGAAGATATTTTTATTATATAGTTCAAGAAAGAGTCGTCTCATTTCCTTACATTAGCCATGGAAGATAAATCAAAGTAAATATATGTGAAACATGAGCTTATGATATAGCTACACCTAATTCCGAGAGAAGATAGGAAAAAGACAGAGGAGTACGCGAAACAGCCATTCTATGCTTAACCTTCTGACCACGAACAACTAAGACAGATAAATAGAGGACTTGAACCTGTAATGTGTACTGAAGGGCTAGATAGATAGATGCCTCTTCCTATCTTCCTTCTTGACTAGACCAAAAGATGGATAGATCTAATACGTTAATTGTTTTGATCACAGGTAGCGAAACCAAGAAAGAAAGGATTCGCGAGTGGTTCCTCTTTCCTTTCTATTTTTAGAAATTTCTTCGCCAATACCTTTTTTATAGCTTTCCTTTAGCTGCTACTTTTTTTTCCCAGTCCACGCCCAATCAGAGTAGTAAGTGTGCCTGCTTCGTCCTTCTTTGACGAAATGGATGCTTTGGGGGAAGGAGGGACTTCACTAAAGATGGTATGTCTGCGTGCCAGGAAGGGAAGGCTTTCGTGCAGGTAGTTCAAGGCTGAGGTCAAGCTATGGGCGCAAGGAGGTCTAGTAAGTTCCTTCTTCGTCTTTTGCTTGTCATTGGGCAGGCGATGCCTTCTTCAATGAGATAATTTCTCTTTAGCAAGAAGCAAGCCCTCTTTAAGCTGTCGAATATAGATTGAAGAGGGTGATCGTAGATCAGGGGAATCAAATCCCATTGCTCCAACCAACACATTTATATAAGCTAAACCTAATATTTTTTCGGATGACAGGACGGGAAAGAAAGGCTAACAGATCCTTTCTTAGGAGGGAGTCTCTATTTTCTTTTCCTAGCTTCCTCAAAAGCATGATGTAGCGACTTACTATTAATTAATAATGCGAGCTAGCATTTGGGGCTAATGTCTGTAGATGTGATACCTCCCGGTCAGAGACGGAGAATCGCTGTTATCAGATCTGGTAATAAACGTATGCTTAGTATGGGGGGGGGGGGGCTGAACCGGCTTGCTTTTGGTACAAAATTCCTCCTCCACCCGAGCGTTTACGGCTTTCTTTCTCGATGAAGGAATTGATAGAGGCGAAGAAAAAGAAGTGAAATCTTGACCAGTTCGTATAGAAGTCAAGGGAAGAGTTTTCAAGGAACCAGCTCCTGGGGACTTCTATTAAGAACGGCTTTAGGTCTTAGTATGTGGTACAACATATAGAGTCGTGAGACGCTCTACTTCCTCTTGTTCAGTTATCGATTCACTGGCTGTTTCCGGCTCGCCCAGATGCTTTGCGAGACCGAAAGCTTCATTTTGTGTTCGGTTGCGTTATCTACCGCAAAGAGAAACTCCCCCTTTCTATTATAAAAGTGTTAGTTCGCTATTACTGCTGGTCAGGCCGATGATAATTCTATTCTGATATTGCTATGTGCACCACTAGAGCTTTAATCATATGCTTTGAGCCGAGTCGATGAGTTTGAATATTCATTCGTGTACGTATGCCATGTAGATTGAAAAGGGAGAAGCCCTAACCGGGGGAGTATAAATAGCACACCAGATGGATCATTCAATAGAAAGCCGAAGGCGAAGAGTTAACACCTCCAAAGGGCTGGGTGAGAGAAAGCGTCCTTTGTTGATACTTAGTGCACACCGCCACCTACTGAAATGGATTAATAAACGTTGCTTTCTATTGCTTGTAGCGGCGTTGCTTCCTTTTGTTCACCGCGTGAAATCTTGAGAAAGAAGGCCTTGTAGGGCATCTCCAGCAACGCCAAAGAAGGAAGAAGTAGAGTGGGCGAACGAGAATCAGATAAATCAGAGTGTAGTAACCGCATTTCTTACAGCTGTAACCTTTCCCTATCGGTCGATCATCCGAGCATCCGATTCAATCCTCTTCTTTCAGTGATCTTATACCTCTTCGCTTAGCTCGAGTGATTTAATACCATAGCTACTAAGTGATGGAATACCGTTGCTTATGGGGACAAAAGGCCTGATAGAGAGAAGAATGTGAAATCGCTTGCTCGCAATAGGATGGAATGATTAGCTCAAGCCTATAGTATAGTGTTAGGGCACCTCACTCGAGGATTTTACCGATTGAAGCTTGCTTGTTAGAAGCTTTGGAAGTTTACTTGTTGCTTGTTGGCTCACTAATAGGGTCACGAACGGTAAGAAGATAAAGAATAGTTCCGATTATTCTGATTCTGCAACTGTAATCAATTCTATTCTATTTAGCTTTTCATTCAAGTCTATTGGCAGTTCATTCTCTCTTGGCTCTCCGGAATATTCATTCAACATGTTGCCCTAGGTAGAATGGGAAAGGACTCTGAACGGATCACCCAGGAGATGGTGATAAAGTTTCTTTAGCAATAAAAGGGAAGTGACATTTACTAAACAAGCAACAGACTGACTACTTACTAAGGATCTGAAGGAGAACAGTAAGCGATGGAATTGATTACTAAGTTGAATAGAAAGTCATTTGATACCTTCGCTTACAATAATAAATAGTTAAATTGAAATAAATGAACTATTCTTTATCTTACTCAGGAGTTACCAGCACCCTCTTTTTTTGAGACTGAATACCGAGTCTTCTATTCCTGTAAGGGGGAGTGGAATGAGTTCATGGAGCGAGGTAGCCTCGCAGGGAACCCGGATAAATTAATCTATAGCTCAAGTGAAGGGACCAAAGAAGCAAGACTAAGCGCAAAAACAGAGATCGAAAACCCAGGACCAAAGTGTTTTCATGTTATTAGCGTTTAGGCCGAAAAACTCGTGGCTAAGGTCCATGCACACTAGTTCAACGCGCTCACGTAAAACACACGAACTGAACTAGCAAGATTAGGGTTTGGTTTTTAAGACGGCTCAGACTCAAGGAAGAAGTTTGCTTCAAAGCTAGAAAGGCTTAATAAGCGCATCTCCAGTACACTGAGCTTACACCCTATAAATTTTCAGCACATTTTTACGAACATTATTGTTTATTATATTTTCATAAGTAGTAAAGATTTACAAATAGGGCTTTTCCCATACCATACATGCAAACATAAAAAATAAAACCAAACAAAGATAGTTAGCATAGATAGGAGTGTATCTCCAGTAAGCATCCAGAGTAGATCTCAACTAAAAAAGACAAAGAACACCATACATTAAAACACACTACTTTGCGTCTACAAACACTTATTTAAATCATCTAGAAAGAGTCGACGGATCCTTTATGAAGCTTATGCACACATAGACAAACCAGCCACACAACTAAACACAACGTTACAACAAAGTAAACAAACAACATATTAAGTTAAAAGAAAAGCAAAAACAAAGGACTTCTTAGTAGTTTCCCCCAGGTCTCCTGCGGATGATGGAGGCCGCCCTGATAAGCAGTAATTCGGGCTCTCGGATGAGAACCCTCCTTTGTTCTTCCAAAGTGCGAATGTGGTCCCGGAGCTCTTGTATCCGCTTTACCAGGACCTCCTCCTCGACAGGAGGCATGTGCTCCCAGAAAGAAGCCAGGGTTTTCTCCTGATGGAGCTTTGCATTCTCTACATTAAGAATTGTTTGCTCAATTTTAAAAAGCGTTAAAGTGGTAACTGGTGGATCCATATCTATCTCCCCTTGCATTGCCAAATAGATAAAGAAACTTCTATTTATAGACGTGGGAAGCTCTAAGAGAAAAAAAAGAGTCTTTCATTTTTCGCGGGTATCGCCACGTGGCTTAATCCCGAAAACTCTTTCAGGAATATAACTTAATAATATAGCGCACATCAGAGAAGAGAGTAACCCCCTTTATAATATAATAAGAGAGGCCCCATGCGTCCTTTCTTCATAGATGGATAATCCTAACTCGACAGCTCGAAAGCGGATCAGTACAAACCCACATGATCCGTATTCGCTTACGTACCAGGCGTGCTTCGTCGTACCCTTACTACTCCTCTTTCACTGGCTTCTACTTGTCTTTTACTGGCTTATTTGTACCCAGCTTCATGATTTAACTCCCCTCGGCCAATCGTCACTCGACAACAGCTCCGTCCTAGCGTAGGCTGAAGAAGTAAAGCCTCTGCCTCTATCGCTTGATTGAAAGGATCAGACACTTTCCCCTACTTTTGACAGCAGAATGAATTATATTATTAATATAAGTAAGGTAAACTTTCTTTTGCCGATTGCACTTGGATAGCGGCCTGGGCCGTCCTGGAATGGGAAAAAATAAATTAGATGGACTAGACTTCGATGGGCTTTGTTTGGAAAGCCAGGAAAAGGTGGCATTTCCGGGCCAGGGCTGAAAATGGATCTGAATGCTAACATTGGGCTAACCTTCACTCCAATAGAATGGGGAAACGAGCAGAAGCACATTTTGTCTGCCATCCCTCAGGGCAAATCCGTGTTCATCACAGGCTCTGCTGGGACTGGTAAAACCCTATTGCTTGAGGAAATAAATTACTGAAAAAAATTACCAATATGTGGTTTTGTCATACAAAAAGATCCAATTTGTTTGGACTCGTTAGGTTTGGCCCATTACCTTGAGTGAGGCCGAACGTGTACACCTTTTGTTATGAAGATGTGATCTTATCCACCGATGGGTCTTGTTTTAAGCCCAACCCTCTCGTCTTAGGGTAGGATATCCAGAAACCTTAAATCACGGGAACTTCCCCTTTTTGGTAGACATCCTATGTTGGGTTGACTAAGCCCACTATCCTACCTAATAGGGTCCCATCTTGTGTCGGGTTAAGGGCGCTTAGTGGAACCCTATTTCTTCACTTGTAGTCTAGGGCTTTGCTTGGCATTGGGCTTCGATATAGCTTGCTTTCCTGGTTTTGCATTAAACCTCTGCTCTCCTAATTCAGTCTATAGGCTTAGAATATAGCCAAGAAAGAAACCTTTATTAGCATCCAATTGCTCGACTCGATGGGTACTTCTAGTGGTTTGCCGGAGAAGCTCTTGTATTTCTTTAAGGAGTTGGTTAGTGGCATAGACACCTCTTAACTCTAAATTGAATATTCAAGAGACTAAAAATATCGGGAATGCACATCTAAAAGGAGAGGAACTTAACTCGCAAAAAAGAAAAAGAGAAACGATAGACAAAAAGAGAAGGAATAGCGGGCAAAGCGATTCCAATGCTTAACGAATGGACCAATCTAAGACTTGGAATGCTACCAGAATCGACAGCAGCTCTTACCTTACTAGCACGATACCGAAATGGACCTTAGCCGACTAAAGGCTACAAGACTGCTTCTACACCTACTAGCCTCACTCTCAGATAAAGACAGAATGGACAAGAACTACTTTTACATCCTCAAGCTAGAAAAAGGATAGGCTATTGGGGCTTCCTGCGAATTCTGTGGAAGGTAACAAGACTGTAGAATATTCGAGGGACCACAAAAAGTGGAAGTCAACTGTTGCCTCTAAAAGGGCTCGGATACCGCCTAAACCAGTGCAAGGTTGTATTCCCAAGGAAGCTAGCATAACAATAGGGAATCCATCTAGTATTGACTAAGGAAAGATGGTGTTGGGGGGTCCCACTAAGGTGAATGTTATTGAACCTTCTCATGCAAAAAAGCCATGCAAAGAATTCCTTCTACGTCCATTGCTACTGTAAGACCACCAACAGGGGGAGATGAGCAACATGTGGGGCCTACACACTTGGAATAGCCTCGCCAAGAGTCTGCACAGGCCCAGGAGTTAGGTTCTTTTATGGAGCTTTTAAAACACTAGTTGCAGTAGGAAGAGACCCCCTGACCCAGGGAAAAACATCTGTCCTTATCGCTTTATAGTGCCACAAGAAGTGACAGAGGTAGAGGGAGAGGTCAATTCTCACTAAACATTCCTCTAGTAAGGCACCATCACCAACGCACATGAGAAAAGGCCAAGGAGAAGGTGAGAGGAAGGTTCAAACACCAGGCTACACAGCCCTAAACTTAAGCAATGATTTATTGTAGCTATTGAGTTTAGTACACCGTACTCAAACCTATACCCACTCTCATACCCTACGGTAAGTGAAAGGAAGTAGTACATTCCACTTTTTAGGGAGGAGCTGAAAGATAGACCTTCCTCTTGAAACATGGGGTGAAGTATTGGGGAGTTACACAACCACTGTTGGTCTTATATCCCTACCACCAAGACCAACAGCTGCGGATTCAATAGCATCGGCGAGAGAGAGAATTCCTATTGAGTTAGCTTTCCTGGGGATGAGGATATTCTATAAAGGCTATACCACACCACCCCATAAGCTACAGCTTCCCCTGCCGGAGTTGTGCTTGGTGGAATTCACGCCTCAAATCATCACTTTCTCACCGACCTTTACCCATGCTAAACGTGTCCCAGTTTACTAACGAACCGGTGACGTAAAGCTTATATTCTCAATTTATCCTTTCTTCCCCTCTGCAGCCTCGCAGTTGTCTTTGATTTTATTGCCCATCGATAAAGGAATGACTCTTGGTGAGCCAATGAGCTCAAATCAAGCTAGAGAACTTCCTGAACCAGATAGTGTAACGGCGGAACTTATTGCTATCTATCAAATCCCAGAGTTTAGTTAAGAACCTCGTAGGCCAGGAATGCTATAAAGAAGCCTTTTCCTGTCGGTGTCAGTGTCAGCCAAGTTAGCATCAGCTTCCCCAAAGCCATAATTTTAAGCTGATGACATTGATGAGTGATCCAACAGTCTTGAGTGGTAGTTCTCAAAGGAGAAGGGATCCGAGGTACTAAGTAGCTATGGAATGAAGGCGAACTAAAAGCTTACTCCCATTCTCCTCCAAGCTCTCCTCTGACCACGAGTGGCGTACTCTGATATGAGTAGATCAGATCAGAGTACCGCGCCAATGTCGTTTAAGATAGTTGAGTTTGACAGACTCTGTACGGGAAGAAGGGCGGGGACACTCATAAAATTATTCTTATTAATCACAGGTATGAGTTTTAGGGCGACGGGCCTACGCCTACTGTTAGAAGTGCCCATCCTTCTCTCAGGTATTCTTTCGACCGCGTCTAAAAAAAGAAAAAACTTGACCTTTTTAAAGACATCCCTCGAGCTCTGCAGCTTTAACACCGGATAGAAGTACGGTCAAATGAATAGAACCAATACTATCTCAGCGACTATAGGTCGGTTGACGGCAAGGAAGGAAGTGAAGTTTTCCCCTATCCTGTATGATTTAGAAAAGTAGGATCTGTAGTTCAAGTCTATTGACTTGTTACCATTTATCTCCGCCATTCAAAGAGAAAGACCCGGCGCATCTCTTCCCTCTTCGAGCCAACCGTTAACTTCCTCTAACGAGCGAGTCAACAAAGTTAACCACTTACTACGTTCTTTCAGAACCTGAGATTCCATGAAATAAAATAATGATCCTCAGGAGCAAGAAGATGCTCCCAAGCGACCCCGGGTATCCAGTTCAATATCCGCCGTTATCCCTTTCCATTCCTACCCTATTCTCCATTCTTATTAGGTAGTCGCCATCACAATCGGAGTTAAGTTCCTCCTTCTCGCAATTAGAATCTAACTCGGAACCGTAAATATAAACTGGAAGACTATTTGACATGGAAGAGTCACTGCCTAGGCATACAAAAATATCCTTATTGTGGTATGCTCCTATGTCATCTTACTGATCTTTTTTTGACAGTGCACTGACGGTGATATGCCTTTAACTTTTTGAAATGATACGCCACGACTGGAAAGGGGCTTGCTAAAGCCCATAGGCCTGTGCAGACGTGAGGAATGTATTCTTTCTTTCTCAGGAAGGGCTCCGAAGTTGCCGAAAATCGTCCGCTATTAGATAGATGCGCCTTATCCGGTCTTTGTGGAATAACCGCAGTTGGTGGTTTAGTAAGGGCATTAGGAAAAGGCGTAACTGTTGTTTGAGAGATAACTAGTTACTTTATTACCTAAAGTTCACTTATTTGTAGCCTACCACTAGCTTTTTCTTTTTTGGAGGAAGCTAAGCCAAGTCCAAGGTTATGCTGTAAGGCATCGATTTCCGGCCGATTGCCTTCTGCAAAGGTCTCATATTCTTTGACAGATTCTCTATAAAGAGTATGGTACGGATGAGAAGAACAGATAAGGGTCTTGCCCGATCTTCCCTTTACAAGTAGGATATTTGTTCGATAGGAACGTCTTAAAAATGTGGGGAGCGTTCCGTCTATATCAGTTGATATGCTGCTGGAGTTGGATTCTTTGAGCTGTTAAACAATAGATACATGAGGGTTTTAATAACGCCAGATCGGCACATCAATAGTAGCAGACGCAGAGGAAGAAATCCTTGCTCTTCGGGCTAAGATGCTGACTTTTCCGTGGAAAGAGTAATGATAGGAAAGCCTTGACCTTCCCTTGTTCTACCCTTCGAACTCGGAGATTGAAAGGTGATTGAAGAAGATCACTCTATGCAGCGACAGAGGCAAGATCTCTATATGTTGATAGGACTGAGTCCCCCCTTTAGAGATAGGGGGAGAGATAAAGCAATCGGCTGGGAGGCATTACTCCCACACGGAAAAAAAACGTGCAACCAACCTTTCCTTCCTCCTCTTCTGGGCATGTCTGACTAGTGTAATCAGTCCCTTGCTTTCCTTCCCCGCTGTCACTTCGCCGGAAAGAAGTTCCTTCTAATTAGATAAGGGATATGCTTTTGTAATAGCAATTGGATTCTTTCTCAACACAGATTCCAAGGCTTATTCACCATCAAGCGCGGTAAGAGCTGCTATTTACTCAAGAGCGGCTAGTCTTGCAGCGGCAACTGCTTGAGCTCCTACTCTCACTACGGTTACGAAGACATCAAAGGAATATTGAAAAGAGGGAGCACAAGAGCTCTGAGTCATCCAACAAGGCTTACTGGAATAGACTAGAAGAGTAAGCTCATCAGTCCCAGAGCCTATGAGTGTTATGCAAACACCACTGATTCACCAGAAAGACCGTGACGGTTCATGTCCAGCTCCTTCTATTCTATAGTTCCTTCCCCCTTTCCTTCACCACCAGCTGGAGCGCAGTCTTCGCTGGTCTCAAGGTTATCAAAAAGACAAGATCGGTAACTTGGCTACGAGCTCTTTCCTTACTCAGACAGACCCCAACCCCAAGCGGGCACGGTGACAAGACTTTAATGCGGGGTTCAGAAGATAGGCTTGCAACGGATTCAACCGATCGATTCCCCGTGGCATATAAAGATTGGCGAAGCATAAGGTTAGTAACATCGGTGCTGATAACTTCCTTTTCTCCTTCGGGGGTGGGCTTTGTAGGAGTTGGGCGAGATGCAAGACTTTTTCCTCAAGGAGTTAGAGCAGAAGTTGTTTACTCGTATAAAAGAATAAGACCGGCTTACCATTCTATTAAATAAAATGAAAGGGTTGAGAGTCGATTCCTTTCTTCAATGCATTCCACCAAGGCGACTAGGGCACCTTTTTTGTAAGAGACGCTCAGCTCAAGCCAATTTCTATCAGTTCATGCGGAAGGTCAGGGGGAGTGGTACAATTAGGCCTTCCCTTCGGTATGCTATATCAGTATGTAAAGTGAATTTATCTCGTAGGCCCGCTGTTGAAACTTCTGGTTTGAGGGACTTCACCGCTAACTAGCATCGATAAGCTTTCGCAAGCAATCAAAGCGATTCCCTTCCTTATTCTAATAGAAAAGCTAATCCGGGCCCTCCCCCTGTCTACAGCTATGCTATCTCTATCACTGCTAAGGTCAGGTTTTTTTTGCTGGATCAGATATGGATATTTAAGCCCTTTCCTTCCTTGTTTGCATTCCAGGTTGGTTCTAAAGAAAGGGTTGGAAAATGGAATCAAACAAAAGGTCAGATAGGCCTCCCGTCCCATTATCTTTCCTAAGACAAGATCCGTCGTGGTTCGGAGTCTCGTACTAGCCTCGCCCTGTCTAAAACAAAAAGGCGGATGGAAGATGGCATTCTTTCTTAATGAGCTCTCTCGCTTGACTTTATCGGTATAGCATTTCTTGCTAGATCGGATTGAGAGTGACTTCTTCCCTTCCATTGTCTATGTTTTCAAACATTTCATCGGTGTCGACATTTTCTTCATCTCAGCCAGTGTAAGCTTGCTCCGCACACAAAGGCTACATCTGGGCCTTTCATTGATTTGACTTTTCCATTCATTTTTGAAGCCCTTCCTTCGCTCCGGGCACGTTGTTTAGATCTATTTCGGTTGCCAATGAAATGGAATATGGGGAACTCTCCGTCTAAGTGGTTAATCTGACGAGTCAATTCTCAATGTTATGCTGCTATCCGTTCGACGATCCTACTTCTGATGTCACCCCCGCCTCTCCCTCCCAGTGGAATATCCCAACTATTCTCTATCCAATTCCGGAAGAATGGATCATGAAAGATTTTTTCTTGAGATGCCAGTAAGGAACAACCAATTATAAAAGCGGGTGGCAGGGAATGAAAGCACTCCTTTGATAGCAAAATCTAGAAATTTTTGAGAGCTAGGGGCAAGCCATCTATTCCTGCTTTACTTTCTTAAAAGAAGCCTTAGATCTCTTTCTCGGTCGAGGTGGGAGTAGGCAGTTCTCTATGAACTGGATGTTGAATTCTAAAAAAGATGAGAGGAAGGCGCTTCTTCGATTAGGTGTCTCGTGGCAGGGGCTGTGCATAATCAAAGAGGGGCGACTACTTTCCTGCTTGCTGACTTCACTATGACCTTCCCCACCAAATCTTCCTCCACTCCATATAGGCGGGGGGTATAGGAGAAGCCCCAAAACTACGCTTAAAGCTTCATTCAGATCGATTCCAGTCGCCGCTATGCCACATCAATCCGTTATGGCTCGACCCTCTTCCTTAGTAGCTACGGATTCTCTGGGCAGCCATATTAGGGATTACATCAGTACATTAGTTAGACGAGCAGGAGCGTATGTACCCCGATTCGCACCATGTTTTCTCTGTCGGACATGGAGAAAGCTCCAAGGATTGACCCGCTCTACAACCCTAATTCATCGTCATTGGGGCGAAAGAAGAGTGTGATAGAAGCATATAAGTTTTAGCCTAGGGATCAGCCTATCAAACAAAAAAAAGTAAGCGCGTATGCGGTCCGCCAGTCTTTGACTTTCTTTGAAGGCTGGTTTTCGAGAAGAATGGTTTTGACCTTGAAAGTCTTTAGGTTTCGACCTGCCAGCCTAGACCTATTCTAATAGATTAGGCCTAGATTCCCCAACTCCTAAAAAAAATAATTTTTTTCATAATCGCTATTTTGTTCGATTCAGCAGTAGTAGGAATGGTGTGTCCAGCAGACGGTCTTTCATCAGTAAGCGATGTGCTAGTCCTTGTTGGTGAATGCCTATCTGGCTGGTGTTCAAGTCTCCGGTCCTTATCCTTCTATTAGTGGTGGTATCCTAAGATTCCGGTTTAGAAATGATCTCTTTCTGTAACTATCAATTTCATAAGAGAAGAAAGATCGTAGGCTAGATTCCGTCCCTCCCAGTTCACAGATGTAGTTGCGTGTAGTTAACTTTTTTCTTCGAGATTGGCTTGGTGTGCAGTGTACTTCTTGTGTAGCCTATGCGAAGCGAACAAGCAAGGGATTGAGTTGTGCGAAAGCCGCGTTCGCGCATTCG